AGTCTCAGGAAACTTGCAATCATAGAGGAAGGTGAATGGGGATCCAGGCATCTTACATGGTGGAGCAGAAGCAAGAGAGAGAGGAAAGAGGTGCCACACACATTTAAGCAACCTGATCTCATAAGGACTCACTATCATCATGACAACACGAAGGGGGATGGTGTTAAACCATGAGAAACTGCCCCCATGATCCAATCACTTCCTACCAGGCCCTGCCTTCAACATTGAGGATTACAGTTCAACATGAGATTTGGGTGGGACACAGATCCAAACCATATCATTGGCCAAGACCACTAGCTAGTAAATGACAGAGCAAAATATTTGAGTCCAAAGCATCTCTCTTAATCACTCTGTTATACTGCCTCCAGAAGTAGGCCAAAACAGAATCTTTATATTGGTGTAGTACACTAGTTGTTTTAAAAAAGTTTATACTTAGAACTTATGATACTGTTGTCCACTAAAATGGTTGGAGAATAATGTAAGACAACATACAAAATTGTCTCCTTGCTTGAATATGCTTGAGTAACTAAAGTATTTGAGATAGACAAACATGTGTTCTGGGTATTTAGAAAGGGAAGAAATTACCATGGACAGGAGCTGAGGGAGACTGCAAGGAGCAGATAGATTTGGACCTCCCTGTTAGCACAGAACTGTGAACTTAAGAAGTTCTTTCTTTCTTACTCCCTCAGTCATTCTTTATCCCATTGCTCTGTTTTCTTTTCTGTTTTTCTTTACTCACCATCTTCTAAGGCAGAGGCTGTCTTGATCTTGTCCATTCCTCCTTATTCTGGGTCTAAAAGAGTGGCTACACGTAGTAGGCACACTGAAGCTGGAGTGGTTGAATGATGGAATTTTCCATATGAGGAGTTTGAGTTTCTTAGCCAGTGGGGATATGTGGTAAGTTCATGAACAGCCAAGAGTCATAATAAAAATATTTGAAATATCTTACACTTTTATTACAACTTTTTTCAAAGTGCATTTATCTGCTGTGTCTGTATTGTGTTCATAACAATCCTATCAGGGTGGCTTGACAGGTCTTTATTCTTCTGATTTTACAAATAGAAAAGTAAGGCTTAGAGAGGTTCGGTCATTTTTTTTTTCTTGAAGTGTACAATTCAGTAGCGTTTAGTGTATTTGGAGTTGTACAACCATCACAGTCAATTTTAGAGCATTTTTCATCACTCCCCACCCCACCACCAAAAGAAACTCTGTATTCATTAGCAGTGAATCTCCATTTCCTCCCAAACCTCCTCCTAGTCCTAGGCAAGTTAAGGTCATTTGCCTTAGGTCACACAGTTGGTGAGTAGTGGAGGTAAGAACAAAGGCTAGGTATCTGACCCTGTTTTACCTTGCTCTTTCAGATAGCCTATCAGTGGTTTATGGAATGGACTGGAGTCTGAAGGCATAGACCCGGCTGGGTATGGGCCTCTGCTTTCCTCTCCAAACCAACACAGGGCCTGTTCAGGAACCACAGTGTCTCAGCCAAGGGCTCAAGCAGTCTGATCAGCTGTGGTCATTCAGACAACCTCTCCCTATGTTTAAGACCACAGTGAATTTGACCAACGAGGACTCACTTTTGCAATGAGAACATTTTGAGTGTTAGTCAACTTACCCACCTTCCTAGCCACTAACAGGATTGTTGTCTTGGTCTTTTGCAATTTGGAAAGATAATTAACCCTTTGTCTTCCAACCCTTGCCTAGAAACAATTTAATTTTCTCAGATAATTTATCCTTCAAAAGACTAGTAATTAATATAGAAAATTGGACTACTCCAAAGAGAGATGGTATTCGATCCACTTAAGTTACTTCCCAAATTAGGACAAACACACTCAAACCTTATTCATTTGAACCTAATACAATGTCATGCACATAATACTCCAAGCCTAGTGAACCATAGGGAAGCTGGATTAATGAGCTTTATCTAGACTGAGCTCTGAGCCCCAAACATCTGAATCAACTTGTTATGAGCTCTACAGTCTCCTTCTTGGAGGCCTGCCAAATCAAAACAAAACAAGTTATGGTTTCAGTTAGTATATTTACCCAGGCTTGATTTGAATACAGTGATGTTGGTGGGGAGGAATTGTCTGATATTTCAGTTGCCAGTATTTGTAGTGTCTGACAAATCTTGGTGCAGGTACATGCAGTATACACCCATGCTTATCAGTTTGGACTACATGTGGCCATGTTTTTATTAGATAGGAGAGAGAAAGAGATGGAAAAATTCAGAGAGGGAATGATGGAGAGAGCATGCTCACGTGTGTGTGTGTGTGTGTGTGTGTGTGTGTGTGTAGAGGGGAGACAGAGCTAAGGTAGGTGTTAGCTTAAGATCTATCCAAATGTGAAAAGTCCTGAAACTGATGCAAATCCACAGTAATTCTACCAATCAGTTCCAATACTGTCCTGTTTTCCTGAATACCTCCCAAGCACAAGGTCTCCCTTCATGAGCACCAGCCAGCTGAGGAAAGCAAAGGGAGAGGCATCCAGGCTGTGGCCGGCTGCCAGCACTCAGAGTGGAGACACACAGCTCCCCTTTGGGGCCTGCCTGGACGTCTGAGCTGGAATGCCCTGCCTCTGACCTGCCCAGCCCCTCCCCCTGCCTGGCACAGAAACCCCCATCTGCAGTGGACATCTTTGAACAAAGGTGTCTTTCTTGGGACACTTTACCTACGGCCTGACTCTGGCATGCAGCTTGGTTTCTGTCTGCTCTGCTCCTGGAGTGCTTAGTGCACTGTGCTTGGAGATTTTCCTTGCATTCACCCTGGTGGGGATTGCAGTGGCAGGGCAAGATAGTTGGGGGGTGTAGTGGGGGAGACGGGAGGGCCTGGGGAGATATGGGGATTTAAAATAAGCTCTGCCCCTTTTGTACTGAAAAGAATGGTTTTTCCAGCAGGAGCTCAGGGTCAACTTTTCACCCCCTCCAGAAAACCTTCTTTCTTTCCTCACTCTTTAATAACAATAATGCTGCCTGTAGTTAGACAGCACCTGATATTTTGCAAGCACCACATATCCTTGGATCTTTACGACAACCCGTGAGGCAAGTCAAGAAGGCAGGGAGAGATAGGGGTTGAAGAAAGAGCATCCCAGCTGTGTGTCCTTGGGCAAAAGATCACCTTACTTTCTTCTTGGGCCTCAGTTTGCTCATCTGTAAAAAACTGATAACAAGGCATTTCCTGCCTCATAGGGTTATGGTAGAAACAGTGAAACAATGCAATTATAAAGTGATGCCATGTCAAGTATTAGGTAAACATAAGGAGTTTTTAATTCATCTCATAGATGTAGAAATTGCATCTCAGAGACATGAGGAATTTTATCCAAGGTCACACAGCTTAGTAGCAAAATTAGGACTAGGAGGTCTCCTATTTTACAGCCAAAGTTACTTTCCACCACTCCACATACCTTCCCATAGGAAGAGTAATCTTTAGTGGTTATTAGTAATTAATGGGAGACAAAGCATTTGATTTTCAGCACACTTGGCCCGGGGCATGTAGAGGTGACTGTCAGTTGCTTACTGTGTCTGATATGCTAGCTAAACAGCCTGTTCCTTTTCTCCCTGCAGGGGTGCCTCTGGGCCTCATCTTGGAAGTAGACAAACCTTGCATGAAGCCTGACCCTGCCACCTATGCCCTGTGTCTGTTGAGACCAGTTCCTGCGCCTCTTTCAGGCTATGTTTATTCCTCGGTTAGGTGGAGTGTTCCAATAAGACCTTCCATGCCATGAAAGGCTGCCTGAGGCCCCAAAGGGCCCACACCCATCTCTGCACACACCTTCTCTCTTTCCTTCCTGGCCTTTGTAACACCTCCTTCCTCCCATTGGGCTTTCTAAATCCTCTCCTTCCTTACCTGGAAGCCTTCTTCATTCATTAACTTCTCTGGCTAATTGATACTCCTCTTTTCTAAATGCTCACACTTTTTTTTTTCCCAGTTTTTACTATGCCTGAAGAACTTAACCACATACACTTTTATATACTTTATTATCTTTTACATGCCAACTCACTCTAACTCAGTTTCATGTTCCTTAAGAGCAAGGGGTTCTTCTTTATCCCCTCACAGTGCTAGGAACAGTGAGTGCTGAATGTGTAGTGGAATGCCAGGAACATTCATATTTGAGAAGCCTCCATTCCAGGTGAATGTCTTATTTCCATGTCACTAGGTATTTTGTGCCCTTGGCATAAAGTGCCCTGTCTCCCCTTTTCTCTCTGGCAACTACTGGTCACCATTTGTGTCATTCGTTTTCAACTCAGGTGACACCTGCACTGTGAACCCTTCCCTAGTCCCCTCTCTTAACTCCTCTGTGCAGTTATTATTTTGGTGCTGGGTCTTTCTCCTCTACTAATCACATATCTCTGTGAGAGCAGAGGCTGAATCTTCATCATCCCTGGATCCTAGGATTGTCCCTGTGCAGTGCTCCACACATGAGCCGGTAATAAATGCTTACTGAGTGTAAGACTAAATGAAAGAGCTCCAAGTCAAATCTTTTACCAGAAATTGTTTTTGGTCTGAGTTGAAACTTCCTTGAAGAACTATGTGTCAGACAGTTTCAAAACAGTAGCTACATGGACTTTGCTTTTCTAGAGAACTGCACTTTTTGCCTCTTGGATTTTAAATGCTGCTTTGAGTTCATTGCATTGAGAGCTGACCGCTGCTATTCTCAGGGAGAATGGAATTCTAGTCCTATAGTGCAGGGCAGGGACTGAATAGCTTCCTATATATCCTGTCTTCATAAATTCCTCCCTTCTTTCTTTGCCTCCTCCCTCTACTCACAACAAATCCCAGACCCTTCCTCTACTCCCCCTGTCTAAAAGACATTTATGAGGCTCATCACTGGGGAAGCATCTGAGGCCCGTTCCTGCCTCTCCCTGCCCTAGCATGAAGGTCTGTCATCCCCTCCCTCACCCTCGCCTCCTAGGCCAAACTCAGATATCTCTTGCCCTGTTTATGGGCCGTTGGGATTTTTCCAACAACCTGAAATGAATCTCTGAGGCCCCACAGGTAGTGCAGCTCTGTCTCTGAGCCATAAACCATGGCTGGGTCTTTCATCTGCCATTGCTTATGTCATAAACGAGTGGGAGGAACAGCAAGGGGGAAAAAACAGCCCTGAACCATTCCAGATTTTTTTTTTTTAAAGAAAGGGGAAAGAAAGGCCCTGAGAAACATGTTCAAACTTTGTGCCAAGCAAATTCATTTCACTCTGGTAGGCTGTGCGTGGAGACTTAATCTCTGGACTTCCCCACTAGGAGTCAGATTTATGCTGCGTTTGTGTCTAAATGGCCTCCAGGGATGCTGACATTTGTTGTTGGAGAGCAGCGAGTGGTGTTCCTTTCATCTCCGCTGAGGGGTGTCAGCTTAAATTATGAGGGATCGCTCTGGCCTGCATCTGGGAGTGGGAGTCTCTGGCAAAGGAGAGGGGCCGCCTCTCCCTCCACTTCACTGCTCTGCTGTTTAAAGGTTTTTCTTCATCTTCTGCTCTCCAGTACTCCTCTTGGTTCTGGGGGCAATCTCCTGGCTCTTTTAGAAATGTCCTTTCTCGTGAACAAATTGATCAGTGTAAATTTTAGGCACTGCATATTTTCACGGAGAAACTGAGATCCGAGTCAGGCAGGTCTGCCCTTCCTGAAAGAGAAAACAAAAGCCTCAGTGAGTACCCCGAGAGCAGCTTGGAAACTCCCCAGGAGAGTCAGAAGGCACCATTATACCCATAATATTTACAACACAGTAGATGGAAGCTGGGTGATGGTTAACAAGGGTCCAGATTCCTGTTGGCGGCTGGGTTGTGGCATCTGTCTGTACTTTGAGAGGTGCCAAAAGCTTCCTGTGTTCCTCTATCTTCAGAATCTCTCTGGCTCGGATGTGCCAGGATGCCTAAAATTCCACACTGGTGACTGTTGGGTAGTGGCATTTCTTATTAAATGCATATATGTTATTGATTGTGGGAGCGAACACATCAAACCATGCTAACCATGAGCAGTGCTTCCTGCCTCCAGAGTCAGAGCTGGAAGAACGGGACACAGGATGTGTAAGTTTTGATGGAGAACAAGAGGTCAGGAGAGGTCTAGGGCAGGGGTTAGCAAACTATGGTATGCAGGCCAAATCTGGCCTGATGCCTGTTTTTGAAATACAGTTTTATTGGAACACAGCCGTGCCCATTCATATTGTCTGTGGTTGTTTCTGTGCTATAATTGCAGAGTTGAGTAGTTGCAACAGAGACTGTGAGGCATGCAAAGACTAAAATATTTACTCTCTGGCATTTTCAGGAAATGTCTGTAGACTCCTGGTCTAGAGCAGGAAGTGCTTCTTAGAAAGCAAAATGGAAGGTGTAAAGGGACAGAAGAGATATCAAATAACAGGAAGGAGGACTCAAAGAAAGCAAATGCACCACAAAAGCAAGAGAAACACTCCAGAGACAAACCACCACTACTGCTGCTACCGTTAACCCTGAGCAACATGGGTTTGAACTGTGCAGGTCCACTTATATGTGTATTTTTCTTTTTTCGACCAAATGCAGACAGTATTCAAGGGCTGTGAAACCCGCATATATGCACTGTGGGAGACCCACCTTTCCTATAGCCAGGTTAGGCAGGACCAACTGTGGGACTTGTGTATGCACAGGTTTGAGTATGCACCTGAGTATATGCAGGGGTCCTGGAACCAATCCTTCTCCCCTTTCCCCTTCTCTTCTCGTTTTGAAAACATATATGTTTTTCTCTTTTCTTGTGGGGATGTGGAGAGAGGGAAGGAGTAGCCACCTGTGGTGCTCACCACGTCCCCCCAAAATAGGCCCCAATGGCTAACCTGGGAGGTGTTCTCTTCCCCTCTCTTCTCTGTTGGTTCACGATGGCACAGCAGTTCTTTGGGGATGTACACATGTCCCAGGCAAGGCTGAGTACAGCAACAGCAGTAGGAGGACCCCAGAAGGCCCTTAGCCATCCTGCCTCTGGGACTCTGAACAAACTTCAGAAATTGCACCTTCCTTCTTCAACCAGCTCCAACTCCCCCTCCCTCTGTTGCTCTCCCTTCTCACAGGCACACAGGCAGAGTCCACAAAACCAGCTCTACATGTTGGCTAGGGTCATAGCTGCAAAGAGAGAGAATTGAACACCTGTAGTGTAAAACCTTAACTGAGACTTCCCACTGATCTGAGACTGTAATTAACTGACAACATATGTCAGAAGTAAGAATATGTCTTTTATGCTGAAATAATAATGATTATTATTATTTATTAAATGCCGATTATTTCTGAATGGTGCTAAATCCTTTACATATATCATCCCATTTAATTCCAACAACACTGTTACTTTCTCTGATGAGAAAATTGAGTCTTGAGAATGTGTTCAGAATCAAACACAGTAACTGGCAAAGCTAGAATTTCAGCCTGAGTTTATATAACGCTAAAGATACCATTGTAGATACCATGTCACATTGCTGTCCTGGATGGTATCAATATAAATGAACCATTGTCATTAGTTTAGACTTTATATTTTCATTAGTTATGTTATCCAGCTTATCAACATACATTTGCATCAAACTATGTGTGGAATGACTGTAGAAGGATCAATGCAAGTACTGTTTTATTGAAAAGACTGGTATGAGGCATGAGGTTTCTGGAGACAATACAATTGCATTTTAAAATATATTCTATACTAGGGATTTCCCAACTTTCTTTTGCGAGCCTGGCCTGCAGACTCAGCCTGTTTTCTTGCCTACCTTGAAGGAGATCTGCATGATCCCTGGGCTGGGGCATTAGCTCCATTTCCTCAGAAATGTCACTGAAGTCATCACTAGTGCTAGAGGAGCATCGTTTTTACCCCTGGGAGTCCATCACCAGAGAGAATTGCTGGCCTCACTAAACACCAAAGTTTGGGGTGCCTCTGAGCAGTAGGATCAGTAGGGTCTAGCAAGGGCAAATCTGTGCAGTCAATGGCTTTCTTTTTCCTACCTTTTATCCTCTTGTGGGATCTTCTTATTTTCCTGAGGCTCTTAGTTCTTAAGTGCTTGTTTTTTCCTTGCCATTCTGAAAACCTTCTAGGAAGATTTTATAATCACACCAAGCTTATATCTGAGATCAGCTTACCACATCAGCCCCTGGAAAACAGCAACCTCAGACTTTAAGATGCCAGAGTAGCCACCCCTTGTCATGAGGATTCTTGCTTTAACTTTCTTCTTTAATCTTGTGGGGGCTTTTATTTGTACTATTGAGAGTGGTGAGGCAGAAGGAAAAGACACCCTTTTCATACCGTCTATTAAGGGCTGCCTGAGTGCCAGGACTGTGTTAGTTGATTTACACACAACAACCCTACTTCTGTGACACCCACTGTGTGGGATTATTGTTGTCGCTATGTAGATATGGAAACCAAGGCTCAGCAACATGACATAACTTGCACAGGGCCATACTTATACAGCATGGGGTCAGAACTGGGATGGAAACCTAGGTCTGCCTGTATCAGTCCCTTTTCAATTATATTGAAAGGGCCATGTCCTCAAGGAACTCAGAATTTAGTGTTCCTTTCATGTTCAACCTTGTTTGTTCAAATGTTCATGGAAAGAAGCAGCCACTGTCCTTTCAGATTAAATAAGTTTTTTGGATCTGACAGAGCCGAAAATGAGAACTCGGCTAATGTCTACACTAAAACAGCATATGCCCAGGAGCATCCTTCACAGAGGAGGGCAGGAGGAAAGAGAAAGGATGTGTAGCTCACACACAGTGCGTCCTTTCATCTTTGCTTTCTTGAAGTGGCCAGAAGGGACTGGCACAGGGGAAAGCCATTGAGGCAAAGATGTTCACTGGAGAAAAGAGGGTAGTTGAGCTCTGTGAGAACCCAGAGAAAAATTAGGTTCTTGTTAGATCATTTGGGCATAGAATTGCCTATGGCTTTTATTATTATTATTTTGTTTCAGAGACAGTCTTGCTCTGTCACCCAGGCTGGAGTACAGTGACGTGATCTTGGCTCGCTGCAACCTCCGCCTCCCGGATTCAAGCGATTCTCCTGGATCAGCCTCCCAAGTAGCTGGGATTACAGGCGCCCGCCACCACATCCAGCTAATTTTTTGTATTTTTAGTAGAGACAGAGCTTTGCCCAGGCTGGTCTCAAACTCCTGAGCTCAGGCAATCCACCCACCCCAGCCTCCCAAAGTGTTAGGTTTATAGGCATGAGCCACCACACTTGGCCTGCCTACGGCTTTTAATGCCAAAAGTAAAAAGAAGACTCTCTTACGCAGGTATGTCCCAGACCCTAGAAGCACTTTCTCAGGAGTGTGATGTCTGTGGAATGTAAGATGTAGCTTGGAAAAAAACAGTGACATATACTAGAGGTTTTATTTCCCTTCGGAGTTAACCCTCGTGTTGTTCACTGCTTATAGAGTTGAAGTATTTCAAATAGTTAGACAATTACTTTAACACTAGAGAGTTACTTACTTTACAGAAAAGCAATGTTGACTAGTTATCAGTGTTATCTGTCTGTTCTGAATTACCTGTACTGGCAGATGATCTAATGCTTTTCTCTATGGCCTTTTTAATAGTAGTATTTTCTACCACTTGGCAGTAACTAGAGTTTCAGACATAGTCTCTAGGTCTAGTCTTGAAAAATGATGTCTAAGAAATAATATTAGTCATCAACACTCATTGAGCACTTATTATATGTCAAGGCTCATTGGCATTTAGGGCACTCAGTACCGTATTAGTATAAACTCATTTAATCCTCACAGCAACCCCAATGAAGTAGATTCTCGTATATATCACTATTTTGCAGAAGAGTACATTTAGTTGTAGAGAGTTAAGTAACTTGCCTGTATTAGTCCATTTTCACACTGCCATAAAGACGTACCTGAGACTGGGTAATTTATAAAGAAAAAAACCTTAATTGACTCACAGTTCTGCATGGCTGGGGAAGCCTCAGGGAGCTTTCAATCATGGCAGAAAGTGAAGGGGAAGAAGGCAGGTCTTACCATGGCAAAGCAGGAGAGAAAGAGTGCAAAAGAAGCCACACACTTTTAAACCATCAGATCATGTGAGAACTTACTCACTATCACAAGATCAGCATAGGGGAAACCGCCCCCGTGATCCAATCACCTCCCACTATGTCCCTCCCTCAACACGTGGAGATGACAATTCTGCGGACCCAGAGCCAAACCATATCATTGCCCAAGGCCACACAGCTAGCAAATGTGGAGCCAGGATATGATGCTGTGATAAAGCCTGAGGTGTAATGGTGGACTTTCTGCTGCCTGTCTCTGGGTTTTAGAAGTATTTTTCTTAGCCTCTTCCTGGAAGCTTTCAAATCAATACCACATAGGTTATTGCTCTCATACATAAAGGCATCCTGGAAATGTGGTCCTGGAGGACTTGCTATGGAATAACATACAGCTCCAGGAACTGGCTTTCAGGGACTGACAACATTGTCTTTTGCTTCTTTTAGGTAAAAGTGATGATGAAGAAAGTCTTTGCAAGTCAGCCCACGGGGCAGGGAAAGGAACTGCTGAGGAAGGCAAGGACCATAAGCGCCCCAAACGTCCGAGAACCATCTTGACAACTCAACAGAGGCGAGCATTCAAGGCCTCATTTGAAGTATCCTCCAAGCCCTGCAGGAAGGTATAGGAGGGAGCAGGGAGGAAAAGGAGCTGGGCCCCACTTCTCTGTGTGCACTCAGACCCCTCTGGGATCTCAGTGGACATTGGGGGTCAGAGTGGTGAGGAAGGCTGTTTAGACAGAGCCTGCACAGGTGGCTCAAGCCCTGTTGGAGACTCCAGAGATCACTAAGCTGTGGCCAGGATGTGATAGACTCTCCCCAAGCTTTCATATGTACATACCAACTCCACCTTTCATTTCATGGAGCACACCTTTCATTTCATGGAGCACAATGGGAACAGTAATAATGATAGGTGCCCATTGTGGTGTAGACGCAGATGCTGTAAAACAAAGAGTATAAAAACACAGTGGCTTGCAGTATGTACTCTTTTTTGAGTCTGGCTTTTTCCACTTGGTGTGGTGATTTGGGGATTGATTCATTCTTATTTCAGCATTCCACTGTAAAGGTGTGCCATGGTTGGTTTGTCCGTGCACCTGTTGATGGGTGTTTGGGGTTGTATCTAGTTTGGGACTGTTTCAAATAGGACTGCTATGAACATTCATGTAAAAAATATACAGTGGTTTAATGAGATAGGAGTTTATTCTCTTCCGTCACAGTCCAGAGGTGATCAAGGCAAGGCCCGTGGGTGGCTCTGTTATCCATCTCCCGGGTTCAAGCGACTGCTCCAGTTGTCACCATGTTTCTGGTCACCAGGTGGAGAAAGAGCAAATGGAGGGCAAGCACCCTGCTTTTTAAGGATGTATCCAGGGGTTGCTCAAATCATTTCTCCTCATATGTTTTGGCCAAAATGTAGTCCTGTGGCCACACTTCCTACAGGGAAAGTTGGGAAATGAGTCTGTCTGGGTGACCAAGAGCCTTGCTAAACTTAGTGATTCAATTACTCATAGGAGGAAGAAAGAATAGATATTGGGGACAATTAGCAGTCTCTGCCATAAATAGCAGCGCCCATTTATTGAGTACTTATTGTTTATCGACTGCCTGTCATATACTGAGTACTATCTTTTACATGATAAAAATAAAAAAAACAGGGTATTCTTTACTGAAATTCAAAAAGGAAATATATTTTGAAAAAATGTTAGCATTATTTTTCCTGCATCCTTTTCTGTATGAGTCAGCTTTGTCTGTGATAAAACAAACAAACAAACAAAAAGTCATCATGGCTCCCAACAAACATCTATTTTCCCTTCTTGGACTGTGCATTGGCTGTGGCCCAGTGGGATGCAGGTTCCAGCCTGCTCCACCTGTCTGTCATTCGAGGGTCCAGGCTGAAAGAGCAGCCCTCTCCTGGGCATGTTGTTCTCATGAGGATGGCAGGAGGCAAGAGGCCAAGTGAAAGTGGGAAGCCCATCGAAAACCTCTTGCTGGATATCAGACATATCACATCCCACAGGCCAAAGCAAGGCATGGGCTTAGCCCAGCATAGGTGCAGTGGTGAAGCACACACCCACCACAGAGCAGGGGAGGGAAGGATAGATATTTATTGAGCAATAATCTAGCCTATCACAACTTCTGACCTTCGGAAAGATTCAGTTGCAGACTCACTTTTTCTGCCCTTTCAGCTCCTTATGCTCCAAGAGAGGTATGGTAGAAAGTGAAATGCCCCCAAATTGGGCTTGCACCAGGACAAATTATAATCTTCCTCACTTATTTACTTCTTCCATGTATACTAAACTCCCAGCCCATGTATGGCTTTGTGCTGAGTGCTTGTCCCGGGCAGCTTCCAAGTAACCAGCAAGAAGGAGATGCGTGTACACATTACTGTAACACCAGAGAGGGGGCTCTGAGGACCATAACAGAGGGGAAGCCAGGAAGCAAGGCAAGGGAAAGGTCACTTTGGTCTAGGCAATCAGGCAAGGCTTTGTGGAACAGGTGGCTTTTGAGCTGGGCCTCTGAGAAATGGATAGGGTTTCAGCAGGTGGAGGTGGGCCCCTGAGTACACTCCTATTTTAATTGACTTCGCAGAAGGATGTGCTGCAAAAACCTGTTCTAATCATTCCACTTCTAAGCCTTGCCCCAAGTGGCATGATAAAGGGGAAGTATTTCTCAAGGCCTCAGTTTGCTCTACTCACACGTTTATTCAAGGAGCTCTTTCAATCCCATCTTCTCCCCAGGATCTAATCAAGAGAGGGCAGTGTCTCTCAGGTCCCCTCCGAAAATCTGTGCTTCTTGCCCTTTCTCTTCTCGACACCTTGCCAGACCTCACTGTGTGCCTGTATGGTGGGCAGATGTTTCCATGTATCTCTTTATTATCTGGATCCCAGTTGTGCTGTCTCCGCCACAGCCCTGGCACACATGCTGGCCTCAGAGTTGTCTACCTGGCTCTGCCGGATTCCAGATGGCTCTCATCTTATTCTCTTTGGGCAGGGCTCACTCGAGGTAGCAGTTAATGTGGATATTTGTGAAATACCCAAAGTTACATAGAGACATGAGGGACAAAACCAAAAATTAAGGTCAATGCATTTAGGCAAGAGAGGAGAGCAAGAGAGAGCCATTTGTTTTTCCAAAGTGATTTTCACTCAGATCTCCTGAAGTAGGTCAATGCATATGCATGGCTTATAGCTAAAGCGCAACAATAGACTAATGTCTAAACCACTTGAAGGCCTAATTTCCAGAGCAAGAGAAATCCAGAAACACCTCTTGGGAATGCACATGTAAATTAATAATTATTATTTTGTTTCTTTACCTGGTGAAGGACTTTCTCTCTACCTGAAGGGAAGCAATGTTCTCGTGTTTGTGTTTATGCTCAACATTAAAAACTATCCAG